CCGCCTCCGCCGCTTCCCGCTGGGCCCGTGAGGGATGGTCGCAGCGGCCGCCGGCCGGGGGGTTCTGGTGGGTGCCGCCGCCGCCGCGCCATGGGGCCTCGCCGCCTGGCTCTCGGAGGGTCCCCCCTCTTCCTTGTCGCCGTCCTCCTCTTCTTCTTCCTGGCGGCGGCGGTGAGGCCGGGCTGGGCCCTGCAGGATGTCACCGCCCAGCTGTTCGGGGACCAGGCCTTCGGGACGGTGGCCGCCTTCGGGGACTTCAACTCCGACAAGCAGACGGACCTCTTCGTGCTGAGGGGAGGTGAGAGGGCCGCGGGAGGCGCTTGGGGTGGGGGGGAGAGGCCTGGGTTCGAATCCTCCACCGTCGCTGCGAAAGAGGCTCTCCCCTCCTTCTCTCTTCCGAGGCTTAGCCCGGTGTGTGAGTGTCGTGGGCATGAAACAGAGGAGAGCCCTGAGAAGATCTTTGGAACATCGTGACGCTGTAGCCTGTCTGCCAAGAATTGCTAGAGCTGTCCCGCCATCTTGGGTCTTGGAGTTTTAGCTGTCACCGAGCACTTTTATGTGAGATAAGGATGGGTTTTTTTAATTGTATAAAATGTTTTATATTGTAGATACACTGTTATTTTGTATTGTTGTTTTACGGCTGCAAGTTTATCTTGCCCTGTAAGCCGCCCTGAGCCCTATGGGGGAGGGCGGGGTATAAATTTGAATAATAAATAAATAAATAAATAAGCAAGCCGTGGAGTCTCCGGAGCAAAAAAAAAAAATTCTACTTTGTGAGCTGCTGGCCTTAAAGTTGGGAGCGAGCCATTTGGCCGCTGCGTAAATGAGTTTGCTCTGGAGCCCTCCTTCCTGAGCTCAGACAAACAATGTGTGAGCCGGAGGCTAGAAAATGTTGAGCTAGCTCACACTGACTCAGCTTAGAGGGAACACTGGTGGGAGAGGTAATCCCTTCCTCACTGAGGAGCCAAGCGAGTGTAACAATGCAGTAGTTGGGGAGTCACAAAGAATGGCGGGGGGGCAACGTTCTAAGATCTCGTGCTGGGGCCCTGCCGGATCAGGCTGGTTGTGGTCCATTTAGTCCAGCCAGCAAACAGGGCATAGAGGCCAAGGCCTTCTCCCTTTGTTGTCTCCTTGCACTGGGCTTCCGTGGTTTGCTGCCTCTGGATGTGGAGGTTCCCTTTACTCATCATGGGCTGCGGTCACACGGAGCATTAGCCACGCTACAGAGACAGAAGATAGGCGGATTTTCCGGGCGCGATCAAACCGCAGCATCTGGGAAGCGTAGAGCTCCCGTGGCTAACCCGAGGCTTCCCACCGAAGATGCGCCATAAAAAACTAGTACCTCCGAGGTACTAGTTTCCGGAAACCGCGGGGCAAGGGCGGGCGTCTGATCACGTTTCCGGTGGTAGCTCGTGGCATCCGGCGCCCGCCCATGTCCCGTCGCGAAAAGGGTTTTTTTCAAGTCTCCACGGGATGCGCACAAGCACCCAACAGCGCATGTGAACACTACAGTTTTAAAAAAACCACAACCCCCGCCGTGCCGTTTCTTTGCCGCGCCACAGGATTGACGTATGATCGGCACCTCCCCTCGAACCATGGGACGTCACCTGGACGTTTGATCCGGCTGCCGCGCGGTAGTTCGCTCCGGGGCAAACTGCCACGCCTCCCCCCCCGTGATATCCGGCCCGTGTGACCATGGCCATGGTTAGTAACCATTGCTGGACATATTCTCCTTGACTCTTTATAGACTCTTTCAAAGCCATCTGTATTAGCAGTAATGAATACATACACTGGCTGGCAGTGAATGACACAATTGAGTAACTAGTTGAATACAGCAGTACTTCCTTGCTGGGCATTGCAGCAGTCTTTCTCTTCTCCCTTGCCTCCACCCAGAGAACTTGGGCAGAGCAAATTCCCTCTCCTCTTCCACCCTGTTCTTGTTTATTTAAAAATGTGCCTGACTTGAAAATTCAGGTTAGGTAGTTTCCAAAACAAGAGTGTTTTTATTGCTGTTGTATTTTAAAAGCAACAGTTGAAAACAAACAAGCCATGATCCCTTAGCGACATTCAGAAACAAACTAAAAAAGATACAAATTAAGAGACTAAATACAAAATCTTGTATTAAAATGGTGAGTTTACTGGAAGTATTCTCTCTCTTTTCTGGAACCTGTAATTTGTTTTGTCCGTGCTCTTGCCTTTGCAGGACACCTTGCTAAAATTAGTGATGTTTATTGCTAAAGTTGTCACTTTTCTGGATTCAGGTCCCTTTCTGACTGGCACTGTGCTCTCTGTAATCTGTACTAGTTACTAATCAGTCCACTGCTTTTGGCCCAAGTGAAGTTACCGAATCATCTTCAAAGGCAGCCCTGTGTGTAAAACATTACAGTAATCTGGGGTCAGGAAGCAGTCCTGGAGGAGTTTTTTTGTTATCTTCTGGGTGTGGAACACCGGTCACTGCAGGTGTGGAGTTGGAGGTATTTGTGAATTTCCTACCTTGTGCAGGGGGTTGGACTAGATGACCCTGGAGATCCCTTCCAACTCTATGATTCTATGATCTATATACTAATACCGAAGTCGCCCCCTGGTGTGCGGATAGCTAAATCTGCGCACCGGGGGGGGGAGGGAGAGTTTTGTGCACACGTGGGGCGGTCCCCAGGTGTGCACAAAAATCTAAAAAGTTTTTAAAAATATCGGGGGATACTTAAATCCCCACAAAAGTGACAGAGTGTCCCCTGCGCATGTGCAGGGAACGCTCTGCAGCTGCCGCCTCGGAGCAGGGGGGGAGGCGGCGAGGCCCGGCGGCTATAAGCCGCGCGTGCCTCGCTTTGGAGCAAGC